TACATACAAACATGCATACATATATGCATGTATGTATGGTGTTCCAGTTTAATGTATTGAAATGGGTTCCAGGACAGTCTAAAAAAAATTAAAAGTTCAGTACTCTATATGAAAAAACATCAGATTAATGATCTGAAAAATATACAGTTGGTGTGATATCTTTATCTTAAATGGTGTTCAAGTTTCATGGATATAAAAACGGGTTCAGTACTGTCAAAAAATTAAAAAAAATCTAAAATTGTACATTAGTGCATTATATATAATGATATTTAGAGATTTTTTCAGTTACTTTTATCTCAAACTGTGTCAGAGTTTAATTAATTTAAGTGGCTACAGTATATAAAACATGACAAATATGGATTCAGTGCTGTATATAAAAACAGTAAAGGCATAATCTGAAAAACCAAGCCTTGTGTATTATAGGGCATAATATTCTGAATATTTTACAGTTGGTTTGATACCTTTATCTCAAACTGTGTCAGAGTTTAATTAATTTAAGTGGATACAGCATATAAAACATATGAAAAATATGGTTTCGGTGCTATATATAAAAACAGTAAAAGCATAATCTGAAAAAAACAAGCGTTGTGCATTAAATTGAATAATATTCTGAATATTTTACAGTTTGGATTAAAAAAAAACAAAAAAAAAACACTTATACTCGCTTGTGCAAACCACTACTTCCCAAATATTGTAACAATAATGGTTTAATGAGTCTTTCTGGATTTAACCCATTTTTCTGAATGGTTTCATACATATAGTCATATTAATAGTGTCCTATGTGCACAGGTTCTGCATTTATTTTCCCCAGGTTTTAGTTTTTTTTCTTGAAATTCGTATTTGAATGTGCGGCAACTATTTGCCGGTGGGCAAATATGTTGTATGCACCCCTTCAATGTCAAATTTGAATAGGAGGAGAGCGTTTGGCATCTAACTCAAAATAACTGCTTTCAACAGAACAATCTTTATTCATAAACAAATGTATTATGCACAAATGTCGAAGAACATTCAATGCAAACCCCCCAAAATTTGCATTTAGCGTATAATCTCTTGAATATGATAACACAACAAATCAATTTGTCTTAAAGAACATAGTGCAGAACAAAGTGCAGCCATTAATTTGCCCCAACAGGGTATTGTGTATCAAAAAGTTAAACGAAAATAAATAAATAAAAATAAATAGAATGAAGAAAATATTACATCTATATAATAAGAAAGGTATACCTGAAAGAAAATTACGCATGTAACTGTTTGGTTACCAACATTCTGCAAAATATCTTCTTTTGTGTTCAACAGAAGAAAGAATCTTATAGGTTTGCAACTTGAGGGTGACTAAATGATGACACAATTTCCATTTTTGGGTGACCTTTCCCTTATGTAAGCAGTTTTATTATAAGTAGCCTACAAGGAGTACTGCAGTGAAGGTACAAGTAGTTTTATAAATTTACATAAACATATTTACATACTATACTTTGTGATGTAAATATATAAAATATCACATATTTTATGAACAGGCACATATTGATTAGGTCAAATGGATTAACCCTGACAAAAGTCCTTGATATTCATGAAATGAATTATATTCTTTTTAAAATATATGATTATTTAAATATTTTGTTTGTTTATTTATTATATTATATTATATTTATTTGTTTGTTTATATATTTTGTTTATTTATTTATTTATGTTTGTTTGTTTATTTACTTATTATTGAACATGCAGGTATTTTCATTCTTAGAGGTGTGTTAGTTAAATGAAAATAAATAAATAAAAATAAATAGACTGAAGAAAATATTACATCTATATAATAAAAAAAGGTGTACCTGAAAGAAAATTACGCTTTTTTTTTAGGTCCATAGTATTCAATGGCTGACTGTAGTGATTTCATATAATAATGTAAATGTAAACGCATTACTTGTCTGAATTTCAACATTACAATGGAATCATAAGCTACTAGTCATAAAATGAAATAAGGTCCTTGAAACGCATGGAATGAAAACGAATGAAATGAAATTAATTGGATGCGTTCGAATGAAACGCATCCAAACTGGATAAAGGGTCCTCAATATTTTGCCCCTTACAAGACATCATGTCATAAAAGGGAGAAAAATATAATCTACAGCAATTCCTGGAAGTAGGGGTAGGAACTTGACAGCCTCATGTGACAGAAAGGAAGTGAATACCTTTTTTTTTTCTCTTGAAATCCTTTATTTGGTTGTTTGCTTGCATGTCATTGAGAAATAAAACATGGATAACATCTAGAAAAATACTTACAAAAGGAAAATGACAACCATAAACTGCGGCAACTATAGTTGCCGGCGGGCTTAAATGGGTTAATAAATTCTTAATTGTAAACTGCTCACCCTTATTCTCTTGTTCGTCCTTCAACTTGTTTCTTTCAGCAGTGTATTTACTAGTGATGGGAAAACGAACCATTTCGAAGCTTCGAATTAACTACAATTACAATTACGGAATTACAATTGCTTAAATTATCAAAAATATAAGTTATCATAACATTAAAAAGTATTGGACTGATAGCACTTCCTCACGGAATGCCATTCGCTGCATTAAAAAAAGATGACTTCTAAAGCCACACTGATATTTGCTCTATCTACTCATTTTCTCTAAGTCATAATTTACCCTTTGAACTATTGTTTTCTCCATTAATTTGCATCAATAAGATGTCAATGCTATTGGTCGATAACCTTCAGGATTTGTTGGATCTTTCGCTGGCTTTAAGATTGGAATTACAATTGCTTGATTCCAAGTTTTTGGAATTATTCATTCTCTCCATATTTTATGGTATCATTTGAGTATCAATAAAATAACATTATCTGAAAGATGTTTAAACATTATGTAACTCACCCTGTCACATCCTGGGGCAGTATTTGCACATTTCTGCAGTGCAATATTGTCTCCAGCATAACTTTTAATAGATGTCCAATATGCCAATGACAATTTCACTCTGCGCAAATTCAGTGGCAATTCATTCGATTCAACGATTAAAGCATTTACCGGTGTTGATTTGACTGCTCCTAAACACATTCTAAGTGCTCTGTATTGTATTCTATCTAGCTTCTTTAGCAATGTCTCTGACGCCGCACCATAGGCCTATATCATGCAGCCATAATCAAATACAGATCTAATCAAAGCTTGATACACTTTCATCATTGAAGATCTTTCTGCTCCCCATTCTTTACCAGCTATTGCCCTCATAACATTTAAAGTTTTCCTACACTTTTTCTCCACTTCTTCTATATGTTTTTTCCAAGTGTACCTGCTATCCAGCCAGATACCTAAATATTTGAATTCTTTCACTTGTTCTAGCGGTTTGCCATATATTGGTAAAACAATATCATTAGGAATTTCTTTTCTTCTACTAAATATCATATAACATGACTTACTAGCTGATATTTTAAATCTCCAATCTATATCTTTCAACCTTTTTAATAGCAGATTGAATACTTGAAAGAACTTGGGTCATGTTTCGTCCTCTCTTCCATATAGCTCCGTCATCAGCATAAAGTGCACAACCTATCCCAGGTCCTAAATTATCAAAAATATCATTTATCATAACATTAAAAAGTATTGGACTGATAGCACTTCCTTGTGGAATGCCATTCGCTGCATTAAAAAAAGATGACTGGCATGAGCCCACTTGAACTACAAATGTTCGATTGAATAAAAATTGTTTTAACCAGTTATATAATTTACCTTCTATACCCATTTTTGAAGC